AAATCATGATTATTCTCATATGTCACTATTTATGACTTTGGCTCTGTAATTACTCTACATCTTTCACTTCATTGACTTCGTTAACCCCGTTTAATACTATTTCCTAGAATAAAGATGTTCTATTATTTACGATGCATTTCCTCTTTTGTCGTAACGTGGCGATGCATAATAGTAATTCAATAGAGTTATTTGTTCTATCCTCTTATTTAGGTCTGACCAAAAGTCCTGACAACGTTGCTGGCAATTTCATAGACCAATTAATATTAAAGAGTCTGTTGCATGAAGAAAAAGCAGAATGTCTTATCCATAATAATATATGTAATAACTCTATTTTGGGTCTAGTTCTAATCTTCTTTCAAATAAAATACAATTTCAATAAAAACTAATTTGAAAAATGTGTAATAAATTCTATCGATATTATATTCAGTTTCGGACTATTTTGATAATAGATGCAAGAACAATAGACGAGAAACTTATGACAGTATTAGAACCTAATACTCTATCCTATCGAACAGTTGCAAGATGGACAAAGAGCTTTCATGAAGAAAGAGAAGAGGTCAATGATAATCCTAGATCCAGTTGTCCGGTTTTTCAGTTAACAGATGTAAATATTGAACTACTAAGACAGATTATTGAAAGCGATCCATATTCAACTTATGATGATATTATAGCTGAGACTTTTCTTTCTTTCATGATATAATAGAACGAATTATTCACAATTTTCTAAAGATGAAAGAAGTTACATGACGTTAACTGCCTTATCAACCCAATGATGAACGAAAACAAGAGCGAATTAGAATTTGTTGTGAATGTTTGGTGATTATGTAATATTATTCGTACAATAGTCTATTTTATTTCAAACTGAAGTAGGAATTTGCGAGTCTATAGAATTTATATAATATTATACGTGTATATCGTACTCTAAGGAAACATCTTTGTAAGCAAGATCTTGGCCAAGATATAAGGTACACAAAAGAGAACAGATCTTGAAAATTTAGATACAAAATATTTATATTATCTTGTACCAATATTTGTAATTAGATCTTGGGTACAGATGAGTCTGATGCAAGTGAGGTATAAAAATGTGATATCTCTTGTCCATAGTCTTAAGAATTTGGGCAAGATATTGACTACATAATACGTACAAAAGATTATTTTGTCACTGCCCAGAGCTAAATGATGCGAAATTGTTGAAGAAAACACGATCTTCATTCGAGGGTGTTCATCAGGACCATCATTTCGGACGTTTTTTCAATTGAGCATTAACCTTTAACTTAACTTCTTGTCCTTGCAGCAGAGATTGACTTCAAATTCCTATGCAGCGACCAATTATACAGCAGATAGACTATTTTAGAAGTATTCACAGTCATACATAATGGATTCTGTGTATTTCTAGCAACATCAAATAAGTCTTCACTGCAAATCGAATTATAGATCTTGATACGAGGTAATGTAACTATCTTGAATCTAAATTGTCAAAGTCTGTTCACTTTTCTGTACCTTGTATCGCATTCAAGATCTTGCTTGCAAGATGTTTCACTTGAGTATGGTATATATAACTCTATTTCCATAGAATGCGGATCTTGCAGGTCTATTCAGGTAATATAATGCTATATACCCTATAAAAATAGAGGGTATGTAGAGTATATAATATCTTTTACATTCTTGACTGATGACATTTTGTTTGAATATGGTTGAGCGTGATTGATTGGGGATGTTGTGATTATTATGAACATGTTTTTTTATTTCTTTTTTTTGGTTATAAGATGGTTTCCGCATAATGTTCTAAGAGATTCATTGAGTCTTTTAGATCCACTAAAACCCCACAGTTTGAGAACAAGGGACTCGATTTTTTCAGAATTCAGTTTGAAATGAAAAAAACCATTGACTCATATTATTCCAAATGATGAAACATGGATTTATTGTAGAAAAATTGTGCACCGGTAAACAAGCGCAAGCTAGTTTGCTGATGGTGAATTACTCACATCCCATTTGTCAAATTAGGTCTGATCCAAAAACATTGTTTTCTATATTGTTTAAATAAAATAGTCTTGTTCTTATACACAGTGTAGATAAAAACAAGACTATAGATTACGACTGTTATATTGAACCTTGTCGTCAGTCTGGTTTCAATGAAATATGAAAACAAAGAAAGTCATCAGGTGCAACAGGTATAAAACTTCTTCATGACAATGTTCAACCTTATATTGATTCAGATATTATTACTTATTTAACACAAAAAGGCATCAATATAATGCTGCATCCATCGTTTTCATCAGAGCTTGTCTAAAGTGATTTTTGGTCGAATGATTAGATCAAGCGTAATTTACTGACCTAACAAATGAAAAATTATTGACTTGTGTGGTTTCAAAGATAGTTAAAAATATTTCAGAAGAAGAGTTTAAAAGAAAAAAACAGGTCACAAACTGAGAGAAAAGATAAAACTTTAAAGAAATAATTATGGTGGTTATTTTGAACATTTAATAAAATAGGATTACATATATCTTTTTAGTTTTTTTTCATGTTGCCAGAATTTTTGGAAAACTCAAAGTTTATTTTTTTGTTTTTATTTACTTTTATCATGTTTCAACATTGTAGCCAATGATAAATCTCGTTTGAAAAAAAAGAAATGACAGTTTACCAGTTTTCAAAATAGTTCTCCTTGACATGATAGTTTGATAAAGTTTTTCTTCTTTTTACTGTTCATAATTTTTTTTTGACAGAAACAGTTGTTTAATGAACAATCAGTTTTTTGAACGTAGTTGTTATTCATCTACTGCAAAATATTTTTACGAATGCTAAAATAAAATAACAATGATGTTCTCAAAGCAAAATAAAATGTTTATAAATTATATGTGATGATAAGTTCATATAGGATGACAACACAAGTTATAATAAATTATTTATTTATTTTTTTTTTGAAATGGTTTACAAGATTTTCAATATTATTAAATGATATATTTTCCTGATTGATCTATAATTTGATGGATTTAATGTCTAGCTTGAATATTTTGAATTTGAATAAATAGTAAAAGATAATTACTTGATATTGACCTTTTTTTTTTATTTACTCAAATTCAAATTTAAAAATATTTCATATGAAACAATATTTCTTCATTATGATTAGTTATTCAGTTAACAATAATATTTAAAATCATATTTGAATCGAAATTTTATTTTTGTAATTTTAATACCAAAATCTTTATCTCTATCAAGTTGATGTATCTGACTGAGGACAAGAAAATAAGAAGAAGAAAATTAATATTGCAAAAACAACCTTTATTGATAATGTAATAAAATGCGTGAATGAACTAAGATGATAAATATTATTAGAAAGTGATGAAGCATTGCCTGAAGTCACATTCGGCCTATAATTCTTATAAATCCTATAATGTATGTCAATTCCTTCTGAAACAATTCTACTTAACCTCTATTTTTTTTCACAACTGGCACCATTATTTCTTTAATTGTGGAGAAATATACAAGTGAAATAGAATAATCTGTCAAAAGATAGAATAGAATATATGCTTCATCTACATTATAAAATCTGTAGGTCAAATCCGACTTCAGAGTATTGTATTGGAACATATATATATCAATCATAACGATTCATCAAAAACTTGTATGGAACTAATTGTTATAATCAATATGAATATAAATATGAACAATTATTTAGTTGATCACAAGCGAATATTTCAAAATATTAACATCTTCATAACTATGTGTAAGTCATATTTATGCATTTTTTTAAACATACTACAAGTCAACAGTTGACTGTTAACTATTATCAATATTTGTGGAAAGATACATGATGCCTTATTAATTGTAGAAATTTCTTTTTAATACTAACTAAAACTTAGAAGACTGTTTGTATTCAAATCATAAATAATATTATATTAGAGAGATAATAAAATGTTTTTTCTCTGTAAGATAAAAATCTTTAAGTTAATTTTTGATAGTTTCGTAAATTTTATTAATAAGACAGTAATTTTACAAAATATTAAGATTATTTTCAAAAAATAAAAATCTGGATACAAAACGCTTTTTTTTTATCTCAAAAACTGCCTTTTTGAAGTGAAATGTAAATATTTTTCTTTTTTCCCCAAGTCAAGCAAAGGTTATCATATTAAGAACAAAAGACGAATTAGCATGACATTTTAAAAGTATAAAGTACTTTGAAAACTGTAAAGGTCATGAGTTATCACACAATAGAACACACCTGCATTACGTGATTCGGTAAAATAACCTTTTGATATTTTCAAAGATGTTTTTTTCTACCTATTTGTCATTTTTGTTAAGGTGAATTTTAATGAATCATATGTAATTAAATAAAAATTTCAAGTTTGCTCTTGTACTGAACAATTAGCAGAACTTAGTGTTTTATTAATTGTTATTTAAGTATTTTAATGTTTTCTTGCAATGAGTCCAAAGTCAAATTAAAAGGAAATTAGTTTTTGTTTATTTCCTATCGAATGGAGTCACGAGAGTGTATAGTTGAAAGCAAGTTCTACGAAGTTTTTCTCGTACTTTTAACATCTGTCAGCTTGTATTAGGAACAAAATGAATACTTTAAAAGCCACATATACATCATGAGATGACGGATGCTATTTTTTATTAACTTTTTATAGTCGTCTTTTTAAAAGGTACAAAGATCATTGCTTGACAATATTTATGCTTTATTCTTTTACGTGTATGCATATCTTGATTGTAGTACCCAATGAAACCTAGAAGAATCAACAATGTTTGAAAAAAAAAAGAATACAGGATAGACAACATTTATAATAAAGATAATTTCTTAATTTTTGTCATATATTGTTATGAGGTTAGTTATCAGCTAGTAACCTTAACATTGAAGGCATACATGACACATGCACTGTCACATTTGCCCATACCTGGTGAACGACGAAAAAAAAACGAAAGATTGAGAAAGAGAACAAGATTAAGAAATAATAGAATAAGAATGTCATATACTTCATTTTCTTGATCAGATAAACATGAATATGAGTATGTTAATGTTGAAAACATCTAAAGTGCGTAGTTTTTTAGCTATTTTATTTAACGTTTTTTTAATTTTGTTTATAATTGTTTGCTAGGATCGACGTACAATGCGTTCAAGAGTTTCGCTTCCATCTATGTCTGTAATTAGTTCTGCTGAACCAGATGTTGTAAGAGTTAAAGTTTATGTAAGAATTTTATTCTATCTTTTTCAAATATATAGATTTTTAAATATTATTTTTTTTTCTAGAAACCGAATGATAATGAAATAAATAATGGTTATGAACCAGATACATCAAAAAAATTTTGTATTGATCCACGTCTTGCATCTTATCGAACAATTCAATGTTTAATTGCTCAAGCGTTTGATATTAAAACTGATTTTACTATATATGCGGTCCATAGATGTTCAACAACTGGATTAGAAAAATTAACAGCTATTTGGTCCGATTGTGATCTTGAAAAAGCAATAAAAAATGTTAAATTTGATTCTTATTTAAGATTAAGTTACGAACTAACTCCACGAGAAGAAGGTATATTAGAAAATTCTTTTATATTAATTCGTTTTAATATATTATTCTTTTGAAGATCTTGACGATTGGGATTTTATTGCACTTAATGATTTTAGTACAAATATTCGTTGGTTTAATGTCGATAATCGATCTATAATAGCAACTGTTAAACCAACAACTGGAAAAAAAACTTCTGCTTTAAACAAAGCTATTAGTCTGTATACAGTTATTTTCTGTAAAAAACGTTTGTTCAACTCTATTGAATTTATAGATTGGATGTATGGTGGACATGAACGACATAGTTCAAAACCAGTTGATGAAAATGATTTTCGAAAATTTCTTGATTCTGAAGGACGTCTTATAAATACAAATGAACTACGACAAGCGATTTATGAAGGTGGTGTTGAACCATCATTTCGTAAAATTATATGGCGTCATTTATTAAATATTTTTCCAACAAATATGACAAGTTCTGAACGCATTGAGTATCTTAAAGATGTATCAATAGAATATGAAAAGTATATAAATCTATATTATTCATATTTTAATTATTATTATTGTTTAGATTAAAAGGACGATGGAAAGAAGAACAACATCATAATGAAAATATTCGATTAGTTATGCGTGCAATTTATACAGATGTTTTACGCACTGATCGAACATTTGGCTTTTATGCTACTTCAGATGATACTAATGTTAATTTACAATCTCTGTATCATATTCTTATAACATATTGTATTAGTCATCCAAATATTACATATTGTCAAGGTTCGTATGAAATAATAATAATACCCATTCTCGAAACTTTTAAAAACTAGGTCGACTCGGTTCTGAAAAGCGCGAACCGATCCCATCTGTGGTAGTTGCGAGTATTTGGGTGAGGATATATAAACGATCCTCACTCACATCAACACACCCGCAATGAATACTGTGGCGATGAATTGTCTATTCACCCTTGTAAATATTGTTTCCATTGCTCGTCTAATATTGAGCTACTTTTCTCCATTCAATATCTATTCATGACAAAATTTGAGTATGTGTTCATATTTTTCAGGAATGAACGAATATGCTTCGACTCTACTATACGTAATGCGTGATGAATCATTGGCTTATCTATGTTTTTGTTCAATTATGAGGCGCATTCGAGCAAATTTTGCTACTGATGGTGTAGCTATTGCAACTAAGCTTCATCATCTTAAAGTACTTTTACAAGCTGTTGATCCAGTCTATTGGAGTTTTCTTGAATCATGTGATGCAGGTATGTTAATTAATCAATTGTTTTTGCCAACATGTCCTTTTTTATTATTATTTTAGTCAATTTCTATTTTACATATCGATGGTTATTACTTGAATGTAAACGTGAATTTCCATTTAATGAAGCTTTACGTGTACTTGAAGTAATGTGGGCAACATTACCTATTGCTAGTGAATCACCACCATTGAGTGAAATATCTTTATTACCATTATCATCTGATAATCTAATACCTGATATTCTATATCCAATAGTTTATCGACCACCACAACGTCGTGCACTTAGTTGTCCACAATTATCAATTATTGATGAATATTATTCACGTAAAAATAGACCTCATTCTTTTTCATTAATTTATGATCAAAATAATAATGATAATAGTGAACAATTATCATCTAGTATACAACAAGAGTATAAATCCAATATAGAAAAAGATGAATATCAAATTTTTACATCTATTACTACTAATAATAATTCTAATTCAACGTCAACAAAATCACGTGAAAAAAGTTTAGAAAATTCTTTTTCACTTAGTGAAATATTAGAATTCGATACGAATAGTCTATCAGCATGTTCTAATGATAATCGTAAATCTAATAATACTGATTCTCAATATACATCATCAACAACTTGGGTACAACGTTTACCAATGAATAATAGAATATGGATTGAAGAAGATAATTCATTTTTACTTTTTCTTTGCATATCTATATTATTAACTCATCGTACTCATTTGTTAAAACAAAAACATATCGATGAACAAGATATAGCAATGCATTTTGATCGATATCGTCGTCGTCATAATGCTGAAAGATTATTAACACATGCTCGAACTCTCTATGAACAATATATACAATGGTCAAGAAAGAATCGTATGCTTGATGATCTCAATAGCTTTTCCATTAGTTAATATTTATTATTGTTTTTAGTATTTTTGCTTGTTTTTGAATTCGTTGTTTTTGATTTTGTATTTTTGAATTATTTATTACATATTTTATTTATTTTCTTTGTTTTTTTTTGATAGATAATTAGAGAAGATAATATGAAAGAAGAATAGAAATAACTTTTCATTAAAAAAATTTGAAAAACTCATAAAATTCTTAATATGTTCGTAATGAAAAAAGGAAATGTTTCTTGTCAGCGATCAAATTTGATTCATTAAATATAAATATAAATGTATATCGTGGCTATAAGTAGTGACGTGACCAGAAATTTCAATGTAGGGGCTGAGTCTTTCTCAGTCCATTTTTGACCTCTATCAAACACTAGCCACTTTTATATACATCGAATTGATATTGCTAAATTCTCAAGCTAACATTTTACCAAGGTCAAAAGATTATGTGTGCTCATTGGCTATTCTCGATGTATAACAAACTAATCCATATATGAGAAGAAAATATCATGAATGATAACAAAAGAAATAACTATTTTTGTGAATCTCTGAAAAATCATCAATAAGCTGTTCAAAATTTATATCTGCATCATGTTCAATTACCGACAAAAACATGTCGCTCAAATGGATCAACTGAGGAACTAATGAACGACTAATATGAATAAGTTTAATCGGTCGTAGACGATAGATTTAATGCTTCAGAGAAAACAAGTCGTGTTGATGTTTCTGTAGAAATGACTGAAGGACAGAAATTCTTGATCATTTAACTTTTGTTTTTATGATGAGAACAGTGGTAAGAAGGACACGATGGTTCTTAATTTTGATGTACTAGGTTTTATGAATTTTATTTATATATTTAAAAAATATCTCAATTTATCCTTTAATTGTCTCAGGAAATATGAGTCATAACGAAAACCATATAATACTGATTGACGCTTTCAATATATAATTGTTTCAGAAATTAAAAAACTGGCTCTCTACTATTTTTAGTCTAAAATTATAGATATAAATCTTCAATAATTCAAGATTCGAACTACAATGTTTTGAATGATTTCCATTTATTTTGATTTGAAAATTCGATAGATAAGGTGAAACTGCGGGTGGTAAACCTAATGAGCCCCGTTGCGGCCGTACCCTAGTTATGCCGTTGGCTATAAATAATTTATGTAGTTAATTCATTTTCTATTCGAGATCATTAGCAGAAAATAAATATAATGAGCGTTCTTATTTTCAAGCTGCAGCATTCCAAATCAACGATATCTCATAAATAGTCAAGCTTGTTCGTGCTCTCATGAGACAGAAACGTTGCGAATTTAAAAGATAAAACTAAAGAAACTCGATCTTCTATATTAATGCTCCTCTGTTATCGACTAAACGAAATGATGAGAACGTATGAAATTAATGAATAAAGATTAGAGAATTTTAATCCTTTGCATGGGCGCAGCTAGGTAGGTAACGGAACTGCATTAATCCTTTATTTTGCTAATTCCCACAATAATAGACGTACCTAAATATGCAGAGTAGATAAACTTTTTATTTTGTCTTTACATTCTACTAGATACACTAGTTCATACGTGTAACAAAATGAAGCATACATTTACTTTCATTAGTTTTGCTGTTACTTTCTATTATTTTTACTATTCGTGAAAAAACCACGAACAACGAGAGTTATTTGATACAACATGTAAATTAAACTTTGGAAAACATTTCTTTCCAAGACAAAGACTTTGGAAACGAGAATTTTGGTGCCCATCTCTATGTACTGTAAGAGATGATCTATAGAATCGTCAAAGTCAACAGGATGCTATTGAACAAAGCATTGCAGATTATATCAAACAAGAATTTCTACACGGAGTTTTTACTAAGAATCTACTACAACAACAATATGAGAAACTACGTGGATAATATTCTTTATAAAATAAAAACATTAACTAAACATAATAAAATTAAGCAACAATCACTAAGTAACTATAGTTATCACATGCTTTGTAATTGGTGTGGGTATTGTTAAATAGAAGCCTCTCAACTACACTCGCACCCTTCTATGTAGCTGTTATTATTTGGTTGAGTATCAATGTGAGGAAGGAAATAAATTATCCTTAATATATATCTACGAAGAATGTAATCTGTCAATTCAAGAAACTTTTTGTTTACTTTATCAATTTCTTCAGTAAGATTACAAAATGTTGAGTTTAGTTCAGTTAAGGTTCTGCCTCTTTTTGACGCATTTCTGGTTCTTCAAGAAGGTATATTTACCTCAGACTACATCTCAGAGCAATGTTTGAGCATTTTCGAAAATCTACTTATATGATTTTTTTTTCAATAAGAGAAATACATAAAAGTTCAGAAGCAAAAACAGAATATTGACTTTCAAAGTTCTGTAAATCTCGATAGGAAAGTCAAAAACGAAAATGACTGATTTTATCTCTAATGGATACTTCCAAGTATCTGTGGTAAATATTTGAGGTCGATTGGACGAAGTTATAAAGAGATCTTAAGCAACCAGAAGTGAGACAACTGGTGTTTTGTGTTACACCAAGTAAAAGAAGAGAATTTCAAAATGATTACTATGAAAAAAAAGATTTCTTAAATTCAGTAAATCTATAAGAGTAAACTGTTTTAGAGTCAAATAATGTCTTTAGTGGCACTTAAGGCTATCATACCTTATACCCAGCTCAAAATCGAGTTTTAGGGGAAAAAAAGAGAAAAGAGGTACTCTTATCATTCTACTATATCTATTTTCGTTTGTTTTCATCGTACGAACGTTTTTTTTCCTCCAGTTAAGAAAAAATGTCCACAATCATTAAGACATGCATTGACCATTAGTCTATGATTTTTGACGCTTGCATGTTATCTATTGTGCTAACAGAAATATGTATACAGCATTAAACAAATAACGCCATGTCAAGAGATCATGAATGTGTTTATGTATTTTATTGATATATGCTGATACTTAAACTAGCGTTAGTCATCTGTTTGCGAATTTCTATATAACGTCATATTAATATAACAACAGAAGAAATAGAATAATTAAGAATATAATTGAATCCGACGTTTTTTCTTCAAAAATAAAACCAACCAAACGTTCATAACATATATTATTCAATATCTCAAAAAACTTAATTTTAACAGACATCATGCTTTTATCATATCTTGATTGACATATCACTAAACATTTATTGTTTTCAAAACATAAAACATATAAATATCATAGATAGAAAAAAAATCACAGATATTTCACTTAAAAAAAGAGAGAAAATTTTATTAAAACCAAATAGTGCACTGTCGATCCGAACATTTCATTGTTGCTTTTTTCAAATAATTTGTTTTAAGTAACCAGCCAGATAATAAATTTGATGATTTACTTGAATTTTCTAATGAAATATTTAAATAGACCAATGATTTTCGCTGAAATACTTCTAATAAAAGTAATATTAATGTATCAAAATGATCTTGATTTTTGACTGAACATATCAGTCGTTTAATATTTGGAAGTAAATGATTACTATTCTCCAATAAATTTGAAAAAAAATTTGTACATGTTGTACTAAGTATTAATGTATGAATGGATAATGGTAGATAAAAAATAAGTTTATCAAAAAATTCATGACAACTATTTATTGTTGATGTAAAACGAAGTTCTAACGTTCGAATATAACTGTTTATCATAAGGTTATTAATAAAAGATATCATAGTATCATTAATATAATGAGCAATTATAGTCAATGTTTGTAAATTTGGATAAATACAATTTGATTCAATATTCTTGGAATATTGAATATCATTATTTGGAATAGTTAAATGAAGATGATGTACACGATTAAAATCATTTCTATTAATCATAATATGTTGAAAATTATTTGTATTTATAGTATAAATTTCGTCAATAAATGGTAATGTAAATAGATGATAACCATTTGTATTATCAATTGTTTGACAAATTATTTTTCTTTGAAACCAATTAAAATTTGAAATAAGATTTGAAATAAAAAATATTTCAAATGTTTGATTAACAATAATATTAAATTGAAGATTATCAACATATTTATTAATCGCAAACCAACTTTCACCAGATAAATATTGATCAAAACAATGAACTTCATGTTCTGTATTACTAAATGATACAGTTAAATTTTTAATATATTTTATCATCATAATTAATCGTTCAAATTCATTAAATAATACTGATCGTAATATAAGTTTAAGAGAAACTAAATGAATAGGAAAATTAATTGTAGCAGGAATATTTATGCAATTATTTAATATTAATGTAAGAGAACGTAGATTAGGAACGTAAGTATTTAATTGTATAAGATTATCTGTTGTACAATGATCTAATGTAAGATTAATTATATTTGTATGACAACCATTGAGTAAGTCAAGTGTTGATAATCGACAATGTGTTAAATTTGAAAAATAAGGAAGTAAACGACGTGGCATTGATCGCCACAATAATGATTCTATAGAAAGTGTTGTTAATTTTGGATAGCTATGCGTAAGTTTTACGATAGTATTTTGATCAGCATCAATAAGTGTAAATGATCGAAGATGAGTGAGTTTAGTACGTAGAATATATGAAATAAAAATTGGTATAGCATCAATATAATAACGATTTGATATTTGTATTGATTTAATATTTAGTGTATGAAGTTGATTAATAATATAAATAAATTGAGTTTTACTCAATGGTTGACAAGAAAAATCAATATGAAGATGTTTTATTGTTTGAATAAGTGATGAAAACCGACGGTTGAGACAATAAAAACAGCAAAGAATGTCAATAATTGATAAATGATTGAAAATAAACAGAAGTAATTCATTGGGCAGATCTTCTAACATTAATATCATATTTAACAGGGAAAAAATCTGACTGATTGTCGAAATTTAACGAACGTCTGTTGTTTTCCTTATTTTTTTTTTGTTAAATAAACATAGGAGAATAAAATATTCATCGACGAATAAGAACAACAGATGCCGTAGGATTGCAGTCAATTATTCATTCATTATATAATGTAACAGAAAATATATATCGCTATATGTAGTCGATGATTGTATTTCTCAATAAAAAAGACTCTTTGGGTATGAGTATCTGGATAGATGTTGGTATGAAAGTGAAAGGATCATCTATACCTTTCTCAATTGATGCAAAACTGTTGATGCGAGTATTTGGTCCTGATATGTGTTGAAATTCCGTGTCTAATGAGTCTTTCGCGACTTATACTTGCACGCTGCTCATAAAGAAGCGAGTATTTAATTACAACCAATAAATGTCATTGAGGTTTACCGCGCACAAATGGGTTCTCAATTGGCATAGTCGTTTAATGGATAATTCCTCATTATCTGTCGATTTCTTTTTTTGTGCACGTTTACAGGTTTTTTCAACTTTTTCTATTGAGATATTTGGTAATCGAGACATAGTTTCATACTTTCTTAATGCATTTAAATGAGCTAAGCTATTAGAGTTAAATGATGGCTTTCGAAATATGTTTTGTAAAAATTTGCAAAGATATCAGCAATTGACTGTCAAATCGTTTAACACCTCTGTGATAGTAGTAAGATCTTTAAATCCTGGCATGTAATGGTGAAATGTTGTGTAGACATATTGCTTTATGTTATTTCCTTGAGAAATATGAGATATTTTATTTTTTATGTTGTTCTGCAGAGATAAGGTTTTTTAATTTAAATAGATATTTTTCAAGGATAGATAATTTTCTAGATGTTCTTGGTGTCTAAATCTTCTATAACTTTGTCGTGCAGTTTGATGTTTCTTTGCCTAATGCACAAGATATGTTGACCAGGATAGTCGATATTTTTTGACTGTTCAGGATTCACTCATTCTGTCTTACGTAGAAGAGAAAAAATGCGAGGAAAAAGTTTAAAAAAAAGAGCATCAACATCGACATTATAAACATGAAAGTTGAAGTACAAAAAAGGCACTGGAAAAAAAAGAGAATATTTTTCAGTTAGCTTTACGAAAAACATAGTTCACTCTGGTTAATAAAGATGCTTTAATCAAAATAGAATAGAGTGATCCGAATATCCTTCTTTTATAACTTCAACTTCCCAACCATACGCACTATGTGTAATTCCAAAATTAATTGCTGCAAAAGACCTTTTAAATGTTGGCTGGCTAGTGTAGATCATCTCACAACTAGTATTACCCAGTCAACTTTTCAAATGAGATCCACTAGCATTATTTTGACTGCAAAGCTCATATGAGTAAGATAATAAATGGCGATGTAGGGTCGTTGACGTTGGCCACATACAGCCGAAAAGACAGCGTAACTGAGCCGTATACGAACACTGTAACAAAATATCTGAATAATACAAATGAGAACAATTTTTGCAATGACCTGCATTTCGGAAAAAAGACGTGATACAATTTGAAATATTTTCCATCAGAGATAAATTTCAATTCTTGCATTGGGCTCATCTCACACGCTAAAATAAAATGTTTCGTATTCTAGATGTACTACCGTGATCTGTTGACTAATCATTTATGCACTGTCGTATTTGCACATTTGGGACATATAACCAAGGTGATGAAACATGCTGAATCAATAATCGAGATTAGACCATCTCGAAGTGGCCTGATCGGAATCAAATCGACTCATTTGTTTTTGAACAAAGAAAGTCTTCCGGATACATGCTGAAGTGTTAAGACAAAGCTTACTTTTTCTGATTGACAAACAGATAAGATAAAATCAAATCTTATGAAGAGGTACATATGCTTTTGTTTCATAACGCCCCGCCTTTTTGGTAGACTTTGTTGTTTTTCAAGTTTCGAGTATAATAAATTAATATACTTATTGTACTCGAATGGATGTTGTAGAACTGTTTTTGCTTTTGGTATGCACTAGTTATTTTCTTGCTGTCTGTCTAAATTGCATGTACCACATATTTACTATGGATCTGTGAAGCCCAATATTAATGAATTATTTGCAAAAACAAGAAAATCGTTGTTGAATCGATTTTATATTTCATTGATAAACACTCATACTTTCTAAATTATCGAATGTTATTGCTCTAATTTACTATGAACTTGACTATGTGCACTATTCAATCAAACACAATAAAAAAGTACATTTTAATGTTTTAATAGTAAATAAATTTCATACAACCTTGAAAAGTGCGCTTTTAGATTCTTTAAATCAGATATAACAACAAGATAGTGACGGTGATAAGATATGATCATAAAGAAAAGTATAACAATAATGATTATAATAATTATAATGATAATATCTAAAGCTTTTGGGTCCTTAGACCCATCATCAGTAGCATAATACATGTGGGTACGTAACATACAATCAATCTACATTGTATCAAATATATATATATATATAAACAGAACAATAAAATAAATAGTACAAATGAAACTGCATACTAATTATTTTATTTTTAATTCATAGTGAAGGTGAGATACTGCCGATGAATCCTACAACTCTCAACTTTTGCCCACTAGTTTCTCAATCCGAACACGATGAACACTGCTGAGCACCTGCATATCTAGCGTCAGGTCGATTTTATCCCTCGATCTTCATCAGTCTTTCCTCCAGATCCAGATTGTCATCATCATGGGCATCATTGAGAATTCTTTATACTCCTTAAACAAGCCAGATTAAATATTTTTTTATCTCTGTTGAATGCGTTAGTATTATTTTAATGAGTAATATATATATTTACATATAAAAATAGATATGAAATACACGTTTCCTTACTTTTTGAAGTCTTTAACGCTATTCTATTACATTACGTTTCACAACAAAAATATTTTTGCAAATGTAGATTACTTATAAAAACAGATTGTATCTGTAGCAGTTCTATTCTAAATATTTGAACCGCTTGTAAAAATTTAAAATCTCAATATCGAATAATATCATATTTGCATTAAATAGTTATTTAAAAAAATAAACAAAGAGCTTTAACTTTTTATGTATACGTGTGTTTCTTTTTATTGACGAATTACATCAGAAGATATATTCTTATCGTTTATTTTACATAAAAAATGACGCACGATGTTGAGATGCACATTCAGTTGCTCAGTGTTTTCTAACTAACTGTAATAGAATCAAATAAAAATGAGTCAAGAACTTGAATGTCTATGAAATTACATCGTAACCAGATATAATGTGCTTGCTTTCTTCACTCTCTCTACATACTTTAGTTTATATCAAGTGATTTCATTTTCACATATTCAGTTGGCATATTATCTAAATAAAGATGGGTCAAGAATGCTGTTATCCCAGTCGTTATCCTTATCAACCGACTTCATATCCATCGAGCGCTGGCTATTGTCCACCACCACCTTCTCAGCATTATTCACATCATCCTCATCATTTCTCGCCACCGATACCTCAATATTGTCCACCACCTTCAATGGACTACTGCCCACCACCACCGTCAATGGATTACTGTCCACCACCTTCAATGGGCTATTGTCCACCGCCACCATCAGGAGACTATTGTCCACCACCATAACCATTATTATATTTAAACTTATTATTATTACATAAATATTGTTGATTGTTCATCTTTAATATATTTGAATACTTTCTTGTTTGAATAAAAAACAATTACACGAGCCTATTTCATTATCTCATATTCACATGTGCTTTGAAAGCATGTATCTTGCATATAATTCAAGTATTTTTTTTTTGGACTTATAGTTTTAATATGAATATATATTTACAGAGGTCACAGCGAAGTATATGTTGAAATCAGGAAAATAAGCAGGACAATTTCGTATAAAAATTAGTATATAGCAAAACTTACTTTATTACTTCTATACAAGTCAAACTCTGCATATAAGTACATAGAGTAATGATAAACTCATGACAATTGCTTCCCTCGCACAGTTACTCATGCCATACTTATTTCCTAATGATAGTTTCTGAAAATTTATCAACAACAAAATAATATTCAATATAATTAATTTAACTGTAGACATTACCCTCACTATTTGGCTTTCGTTAATATCTTCCAGCGTTGACATCGCCTCGAATTAAATTTTTCAAAATTCATGTGAACCCAGTCCGAAGTATGAATGAATTACAAGTCAAGTACAATATTTCACTGATGCTTTGGAGTATTGAAGTCTTGCTTTTCTCCCCTTGCATATATCTATTTGAATATTACATGTATGTAAATCATTTCAAGAAAATTTTTTCTGCTTTGAAATTTAAATGAGTGGAAAATAATGAAAACTAATTATTTAAAACTGACTTTGAAAAAAATCTAATATGAACATTATATCTTTCTTTCTTGACAAATATTCTATCACTACTTTCACCAAAAATCTTAAAAATGAATTAAATACAATAAGAACGTGTCATAATGGTGTAGACACAGTCATATGGCTACAGAAAGCAAAATATCAGAACAAAATCAGAATTTTCAGTCGAAAGCAAGAAAATCAAGATATTTTGAAAAAGTCAGGTTAGTAATATCAGGGTGAGGCCTTTATTTACTTTTTATTATCTGAATATCATATCAAATGAGAACTTCACCAAATACTTTTTAGGTAGCGAACATGCCTCTCGAGTTTTATTTTTTTCTGTTTATTTGGCTGTTCTTCGTTTCTTTACTTTTCTTTTTCTTTCTCTCTATTGCATACGATACATTCATACCACAAGAAGAAAAATAAGCTCGAGAAATAGATACCACAGACCATTGAGTCCAAAATGCAAGCAAAGAAAAAAAAATTATAGGACATGCTCTCTATAAATATTGTCTCGTTTATAGAAAAGAGGAGAAAAGTATAAAACAAATAATCGCGCTTTGTTGTTTCATTGTTTCAGATCAAAATGACTACAAATACAGTTTTAAGTCAACTTATTGTTGATAAATCAAAATGTGAAGCTACTCGTACTCATTTACCATCCTTTGATCGTAGTCAACTTAAACATGGCATTGTTCATTTAAGTGTTGGAAATTTTCATCGTTCACATTTAGCTTATTATATGGATATATTAGCAAGTGAACATAAACAAACTGATTGGGGTATTGTTGGTATTGGAGTTCGTTCATTTGATAAACCAATGAGTGTAGTAATGAAAGCACAAAATGGTTTATATACACTAGTAACAAAAGGTACTGATGAAAATGATGTTAATGTTCGTATAATTGCTTCTCTTATTGATTATATTTTTGCACCTGATGAATCTGGAGATGCATTAGCCGTACTTGTACATCCTGATACAAAAATTGTTTCAATGACAATTACCGAAAGTGGCTATGATTTAGATATGAATAATATTGATATTCAACATGATTTAAAAAACTCTGATAAACCTAGAACAATATTTGGTTTTATTGTTCATGCATTAGATGCACGTCGTCGTGCTAATGAAAAACCATTTACAGTAATGTCATGTGATAATGTTCAACAAAATGGTGAAGTTACAAAAAGATGTATTTTACAATTTGCTAAAGGATTAAATAACACTCAATTAACTGAATATATCGAAACACAAGTAACATTTCCAAATGCTATGGGTAAGAGCAAAAGAATTAATCGAAAAGAATATTTCTTGTTTTTTTGAATTCTAGTGGATCGAATTACACCTGCAACGAGTGATGCTGATCGTGAATATGTCCGTTCACATTGTGGTATTGCTGATGGATGGCCTGTGATAACTGAACCTTTCATTCAATGGGTTATTGAAGATTCATTTTGTAATGGACGACCTCCACTTGAATTACTTTCATCATCACCAAATAATGTTCTTCTTACCAAACATGTTGAAGCATATGAATGTATGAAAATGCGTCTTTTGAATGCATCACATACAGGCATGTGTTATCTTGGTCATTTAATGAGTTATACTTATATTCATGAAATAATGTTAGATGAAAATATTGGAATTTATATTGAACAATTAATGAATGCTGAAGTCACGCCAACCTTACCACCAGTACCTGGTATTGATCTTGAACAATACAAACGTACACTTATTGAACGTTTTTCAAATCCACATATTAAAGATACTGCACTTAGAGTATGTATGGATGGAGCATCGAAATTTCCAAAGTTTCTTGTGCCTACTATTGTTGAACAACTTAAACGAGGAAATAATCCACATTTTTGTGCTTTAGCTGTTGGTGCTTGGATACGTTATTTAAGTGGATTTGATGAACAAAATAAACCGATTATATTACAAGATGCATTAGCTGTTGAACTTAATCTGAGTGAATTAGCTGTAAAAACAAAACCAGGTGCAAAACAAATTCTAAGTATTAATCAAATCTTTGGTGTTTTAGCTGAAAAGCCACAATTTATTGAATCTGTTGAACGAGTTGTTCAACTTTTATATGAAATTGGTTCAAAAGAGACGCTTAAACAATGGATTAATGAAGCCCCAACCAAAAAATAATATAGTAAAAACAAGAGCGCATAGTTTTTATTTGCTAATTTTTCTTTTCATTGATGTAGAAATAACAACCTTACATAAAAAACAATAAAATCGATTGACTAAGGAGTACCACTTAGAATCTTATCAATTTTCGACCTGAAAAAGAAAATGAAAATTTATACAAAAAAATTAATATGAAATAAAACAAAAAACATTTTCTAACCGTGCATCGTTTATTTGTTCTTCAATACGTTCTTTTAATGTTAATTGTTTTGCTGTATGAGCTTTTTCTGTTAAATCATCAATTAATCCTTTTAATCCTAAAATAAAATTTTTGAATAAAATACATTAAAATCTCATTAAAAAAAAACAGGAGAATATTTACCAGCGATATTATGAAATACTCGAATTTGTCGATCACCAGCTGATGCCACATATTTTCCTGTACCATCCATTATTAAAACTCGAATAGTTTCTACAAATAATCATTTAAATATCTTCATTTTTTTTGTTTTGTTATTCATATTTTCTTACCTGAATGAACATTTTCAATATCTTGTTCACATTTTTTTTCTTCATTACTTAAATTATAAAACATAAGACGATTATCAATTGAAATAATCGTTGATAAAGCATCAGGTGCAAGAACAATCAAACCTAAATTTTCAATATTATATAATAATGTACCAGTATATAAACATTTTGGATCTTGTTTATGCATATAATCAACATCGGTATTCCATAACTTCCATGTATTATCTTTCGATATAGTTGCAGCACGTGTTGAATCTTTATTTAAACTAAAACATGATACTTGAGCATTATGTCCTTTAAGTTCAAATGCTTTTCGAATTTCTTTAAAATTTCCATTGGACTTTTCAAAACAAACTTCAAAAAATCGAACATCACTCGTAAAACCAGATGAACCAAAAAAACGACCACATGGAGATACAGCAGCATAATTTAAATGACCTTGACGAGTTTCAACTGTATCAAGAACATCACCTACAAATAATCGAAATAAAGTTCAAAAATACACATATATATATATCTGGAAACAAATAGTCCTAGTGGATATTTTGAATACATCTCTAGCATAAAAAAATAAGTTTTCTAAACAATAATCATATATTCTGATAGCACTGGGAATTTTCTACAAGTCAACATGTTTGGTTTTAGACTTTCATTGAATTGATAAAAAATATTTCGATTACAAAGAACAGATTTTCGTCTTCAAGAGCGTAAGTTTGTATAATCATTATAGCAAAAAAAATACGACCTAAGTTTGCTTGAAGAAATACAAAATACAATTCATAGGAATATAGAGATGTGGATACAATAAAAAAGATTTTATAGTTTGACCAGCAAATAATGGCAAATCGAAGTTTCTAAAAAACCGGACACGGTGCTTTTCAGGTTCAAAAAAACTGCTTTTTAATAATCCTATTTCAAAGAGAACCAAATGAGGGTGTCCACATTTTCTACGACCTTTTCTTATAAAGTAAAACGTGTCATAAAATTTATCAAAAATCGACTAAAAACGTCTATTTACGACTTTTAGGATGTTTTCAACTTCTTAAGCAAAGGCAGGAGAAAATATGCCGACCCCTCATTTCGTTCTCTTCAAAATAGCATTGTTGAAAAATAGCATCTTGAACCTGAGAACTACCATGTCCGGTTATTTGGAAACCTTGCCGTTATAATTCATCTATCATAGAATGTATTAGATAGAAAGCACTCTTGACTATTAAAATCACTATCTGAATTTTATTTAATTGTTTAACATTATAGAAAAACAAGAAAAATACGTTGTTGTTGAACGTTTTTTCCATCACCTTAGTTCACGAAATTTTCAAAACTAGGGTTTCTTCATTGTAATTAGAATATTTTGTAGTAGCTCAATGGAAGTTTAAAACCACATACACAGAGATATATAGAATTTCAAGGGATATCATAATATATGATTATTTGAATCCAAAAACAAGCAAAGAATTGTCTCTGATATGTTCACATATTTCGATCATTCTGCATAATGTAAAATTAACTCATGTGAATAAAACGAAAATTGATTCGCATAAATGAAAAACAACAAATTTGTTTATATTGATCATATGAAGCATTCTATTG